TTTTTTAGACTTTCCAGTCCTCGTCGTACGACCACAATTGAGCCCAGAATTTCCTGTGGTTCATGAATATTGAGACATTGGTTGAGTGAGCTTTGCTCCCTTTTACAACTTTCCTTGCTTCAGTTGTTATGTGAATCCCTGCCCTTGACAAGTGAGTCACCCGGTTGTTAAGTGAATCTGGATTCCTCATTGACTTTGCTTGTCGAGGAGGTCACAAGAGGGAATCACGTGACCCCAGGGACACTGCGACCGTCGTATGTATGAACCAGTTTCCAAGCGTCTGAATTTTGATCGTATGACAATGGAGATGCTGCCCAGGTCGTAACTGGGAAAAATGGTCGTAAATCACTTGTTTTCAGTGCCGTCGTCGTTTGAACGGTCACTAAATGAGCTGTTGTAAGTTGAGGACAACCAGTACACTCGCTACCGTCATCAAATCTATCCACCTCACTTCTGGTCATCCTCTTTTTCCTTCCACCTTTCCTAGCCTTATAGACTTCTCCACAGAATTAGATTTTCATGCAATTTGTCCAAAATATGATAACAGGTAACAGATAATCAGAGTCGGAAGGGACCGTGTAGGTCATCTATTCCAACCCCCCCCCCAAGCGGGAGACCCTACACCATTTCTGACAGATGGGAGTCCAGTCTCTTCTTGAAAGTCTCAAGTGATAAAGCTCCCACAACTTCCTGAAGGCAACTTCTGTTCCATGGGTTGATTGTTCTCATTGTCAGGAAATTCCCCCTTATTTCCAGGTTGAATCTCTCCTAGTTCAGTTTCCATCCATTATCCCTTGTCTGGCCTTCGGGTGCTTTAGAAAATAGTTTGACCCCTTCCTCCTCTCTGTAGCAGCCCCTCAAATATTGGACCTCTGCTCTCCTGTCTCCCCTGGTCCTTCTCTTCTCTAGACTAGCCAAGCCCAGTTCCTACAACCGTCCATCGTATGTTTTAGCTTCCAGTTCCTTATATGATAATCTGCTTTGTTCTAATATCGGTTGCTTTGTAATTCAATGTATACAGCTTCTCATTAACCAAAAGGCACTCCGACGTTCAAAACCACTGACGCTCCTGCTTCTTCAGAGCCCAGCTTTGAAAACCATCGCTTGTATAATTAATTTTTTAAAAAAAACACCATATAATTTTATTGAAAATTTTAAATGGAAGAATAAGACGAACGCTCACTGAAATAGAATGACAAAGGAAAAAGGAAAGAAAGAAAAGGAAAAACTAAAAGGGACCAAAAGGAAAAAGATTAGCGAAAAAAATAGAAGAGGGAAAAATAGTGATAAAAAAGTGACTTCTGATCTTTACAGCAGTAATAAATACAATAATATCTCTCTCTCTAAAGTTACATCATGATTCTCTTTTTTCCATACTCATTTAATTATCAAAAGCATTAAAGTTTTGTATTTTTTTTTAAATGCAAAAATACCATAAAAGGTTTCCAGTCACCAGTAAACCCAGACGTTGTCTTCTCTCTAACCATACAGATCAATTTGAACTTCTCAGCAAGTTCGGTCTTCTTCACCAACCATTCCCTCTGTTGTGGGTGTTGCCATATATCTATCCATCTTTGTGCATAAAATAATATTGCTGCAGTTTGTCATATATGAAAACAACCCTGACTTTCCGCCCAATTGTTTATCCATCAGTCCCAAGCAGATGACAATATCTTGTGTTTGCTTTTTTGCAGGTCTACCTAAACTGGAAGCAGCCTGTGTTCCATCAGGTAAATTGTTTGTTTATTTCTGTTTCCACCTAGGAAATATTATTGACTAGTCCATTTTTTAAAAATGTGGATATGTCAGACATGAAAGACAGGGCCCACAACATGAAGGTCCAATTAAACTGGTTTATCGTTCAAAAGCTTTATCAATGAACAGTCAGCACCTGCTAAGATTTAAATAAGGGTCAACTGAATTCAACTTAGTTCTCTTGTGACCCTACCCCCCCACAAAAGCTACTTACGACCCAGTCCCAAAGTTATGGCCCCGCTGTTCTTCATTCTTATGACTGATCGCAGGAAAACTGCAATGCCTCCCCCAGCTATCTTCTCCATTCTCCCTCCCAGCACCTTCTTCAAATCTCACCAGATCCCATTTTGCTTTCCTAATGCAGGAAATTCCTTGGTCAATGTGGCTATGTATCAGTTCCTTGGAAGTCTTCTGGTCCAGTGGTCGCCAACCAGTGGGCCAGGGACCACTGGTGGTCCGCAGAGAAATGTCCCCCCCAAAGCAATTAATCCAGGCTGTGTGGGAACACAAGGCTTGTGTTGCTTGCACTGTGCACAACACGAGGTAGTGAGGGGAGGGGGGAAAGGGAGGAGAGGGGGAACTTGCCCCACTCGCTCCACATGCCTGGCCTGGCCACCGGGCTGCTTCTTTCCACTTCTTTCTTCTTCTGCTTTTGGCTGCACGCAAGCAAAGCAGCCGAAGTCTTTCTTTCTCTCCCCCAAACTCCGCCAGAAATGAGTCTTTGGGGACCCTGCAAGGCCTCCTTCTCCAAGAGGCTGCGCCGGCAAAAACTCATTTCTGGAAGAGTTTGAGGTAGAGAGAGAAAGAAAGACTTCTGCAGCTTCTGCTGCTTTCCTTGCATGAAGCCAAAAGTCTCTCTCTCTCTCTCTCTTTCCCCCTGAGAACAGAGCTTGAGATGGTATCCTGCGATCCCAAATAAAGAACGATCGATCGGTAGGAAAACAGCGTGGGGAATTTTCCCGCAGACTTTTTGGGGGATTTTCCCAGAGACTCTGGTCCGTGGGATTTAAAAGTATGGGTTTGGTGGTCCCTGAGGTCCAAAAGGTTGGTGACCCCTGATCTAGTCCAACCCCCTGCTCAAACAGGAGACCCTAGACCATTTCAGACCAACGGCTGTCCAATCTCTTCTTGAAAACCACCAGCGATGGAACATCAAAAACTTCTGGTGGCAAGCCGTTCCACTGGCTAATTGTCCTCACTGTCAGGAAATTTCTCCTCAGTTCTAGGTTGCTTTCCTCCCTGATTAGCTTCCACCCATTGCTTCTTGTCCTGCCTTCAGGTGCTTTGGAGAATAGGTGGACCCCCTCTTCTTTGGGGCAGCCCCTCAAATATTGTAGCCCAGCTATCATGTCCCCCCCAGTCCTTCTTTTCACGCAATTAGCCATACCCAATTCCTGCATCCATTCTTCGTATGTTTTAGCCTCCAGTACCCCAAGTAATAGGAGGAAAAATAATGGGAGAAAAATACGTAGTGCCCATTTTTTTAGGCCACAAGATGTTAAAATACGAGACCCGAATCGCCGGCTCATTTTTCCAAGAGCAGACACAATGATTTAAATGCCATAAACTTTATGCTTACTTTTTAAATCCTCCAGCTGCATTGAATTTCATTTCCAAGAGAATGTGGATTGTGCCTTAGGAAAAATAATAAGATTTCCCTAGATGATGATGATGATGATTATTATTATTATTATTTTGCATTGGATTTCTAAACACCAAGACAACCAACTGGCTAGAATTCTCCTTGGCCCTATTTTCTTTTCCCACCTATTTCCCTGTCACTGAACCGCCTGACTTTTCTTTATTTCTGAATAAATCACTTTGCATGGGTAGGTAAGGGATGGGAACTTGTCTTTCAGCAGAATTAAAATTGGCCATGCCCATATTAGCAAGTCCCTGGCAGCCTTGAATCCACTTTGCCAAACAAAACAGAGACTGTAAGGCTGGCACTGTTGATATAATTTGCATGATGTAACAGCAATTAATCTTTGCCCTCCCAGTGTTAGGTTATTCTAAATATTCTGTTTGTAGTAAGCACAATATAAATAACCCTCAGGGAGTCTCAGGCCAAAATAATTCGAAACCCCCTTTCCCTCTTAATTATTAGCACCTATTTTGCAACGATTGCATTTTGATGTTGTTGTAGTCTGTCATTATGTTACTGAACCTTTTTGCTTTCGTTGGCTCATGATGGGAGTTATAATCCAGCAGGTTTGAGGAGGGCACTTTGCCACGTAAGCAGAGGGAGGCTGTATATCATTCTAAAACAATATAATAGAATAAGAAATAGAATAGAATAAGAATAAGAATAAGAATAAGAATAGAATAGAATAGAATAGAATAGAATAGAATAGAATAAAATAGAATAGAATAGAATAGAATAGAATAGAACAAAAAGAAAGGATGGAGAAGAGAAAGGATAGAGTATAGTAGAATTTAAAAAAGGGTGGAGAAGAAAAAAGAAGAGAAGAGAAGAGAAGAGAAAGGATGGAGAAGAAAAAGGATAGAGTAGAATAGAATTTAAAAAAGGATGAAGAAAAAAGATAGAATAGAATAGAAAGAAAGGATGGAGAAGAGAAAGGATAGTAGAGTAGAATAGAATAGAATTTAAAAAAAGGATGGAGAAGAAAAAAGGATAGAATAGAATAGAATAGAATAGAATAGAATAGAATAGAATAGAATTCTTTATTGGTCAAGTGTCATTGGACACACAAGGAATTTGTCTTTGGTGCAGAAGCGCTCAGTGTACATAAAGAAAAAATAAAATACATTCATCAAGAATCATAAGATACAACACTTAGTGATAGCCACAGATAACTAATAAGCAATCAAATCATACTAGGGAACAAATAAAACAATATAAATTGTAAAGATACAAGCAACACGGTTATAGTCATAAGTGGGAGGAGATGAGTGATAGGAACTATGAGAAGATTAACAGTAATAATAGTGCAGATAGCTGAACAGTGTTGAGGGAATTATTTGTTTAGCAGAGTGATGGCGTTCGGGGAAAAAACTGTATTTGTGTCTAGTGTTCTGGTGTGCAGTGCCCTATAGTGTCGTTTTGAGGGTAGGAGTTGAAACAGTTTATGTCCAGGATGTTACAGGACTTAAAAGCACAATGGAGCCCCAAATTGTATGTTATTAAGTGAGTTTGGCCCCATTTAATGACGTTTCTTGCCACCGTTGTTCAGCGAATCACCGCAGTCATTAAGTTAGTCACCCAGTTGTTAAGTGAATCTGGCTTCCCCCATCGACTTTGCTTGTCCGACGGTCACAAAAGGGGATCATGTAACCCCGGGAGGCTGCAACCGTCATAAATACAAGTCAGTTGCCAAGCGCCTGAATTTTGATCAGGCGACCACAGGGATGCTGGAACGGTTGTAACTGTGTAAAACGAACATAAGTCTCTCTTTTTTTGTTGTTGGTGCCATTGTAACTTTGTATGGTCACTAAATGAACTGCTGTAAGCCGAGGACTACCTATGGTAAGATTTCTTTTATGCCTTTTGGGCCGCTTAAGGAGACCACAGCAAGCTGCCGAAGGATTCATGCCACGAGAATTGATTCATAGAGTTAGTCCTTGATTTACAAACGTTTCTCCTAGCTTGAAGTTACAACAGCACTGGAAAAAAGTGACTTACGACCGTTCCCCCCCCCCCCCCCCCCCCCCACCCCCCCCCCCATCCCCCCATTGGGCCCGGGACCAAAATTCGGGCGCGGGGCAACTGGCTCCTATTTATGACATGTCCCGGGGGGGGGGGGGGGAGGTGTCATGAGATCCCCTTTTGCGACCTTCTGACAAGCCAGAAACAGTTTATCCTACGCCACGCACTTTATCTCGATTTTTAGACTTCACATTTCCTGCGATGACCCGGAGTGTAACACAAACGTAACAAAATCCAAAGCGTAAATAAATGTCCTTTAATGCCTCCAACCTGGCCCCACTGTTCAATAATTCTCCGTTGGAGATAAAACTTATTCAGAAATAGTCTTCAAAAGAAAGCAATACAGTCCGAACTTAATGAGCAGGTAGAGGTGAAATAAAAAACCAAACAAACTAAAATGACATAATTTCCACAAGGAACCAGGATAAGTAATTACCAAACTTCAAGGAGATAACAAGGCAGAGTCTGTTGGAAGGACGCCAATCAAGATAACCAGCCCAAAATAAAACACGGCAAGGCTGTGTTGTAACCGTCTCTCTTATATATTATTCTCCCCAGCTGCAACCAATGAGGGAGATCATGGCCGCTTCCTCTCTCGTAAGCCAAGTTGTTTCCTTCTCTGTTGCTCCCTGTGTGTCCTAGGATGAAGAAGGGATGGGCCTGGGTCCTCCTCTGACTGCCCAGCCAGCCTGTGCCCTTCCCCAGCCTCCTCCACAACCTCCAGAGCCACACCTCCACTCCCTGTCGGCTGTTCCTCCTCTCCCTCAGAGTGTCTCCACCAGGGGCAGGACAGAACCTAAAACCATTAGGTTCGTTTCAGTTTCAGCCTCATTTCATTCAAAATTGAAAATGGATGAAATGTTCATTCAAAAACCAGATGAAATGTATCAGTAAAGGATACAGATGAACAGAATTGGAAGAGTCCTTGTAGGTCATCTAGTCCACCCCCACCCCCCACCCCGCCTAAGCAGGAGACCCTACACCATTTCTGACAGATGGCAGTCAAGTATCTTCTTGAAAGCTTCCAGGGATGAAGCTCCCACAACTTCTGAGTAACAGAATAATAACAAAATAACAGAATTGGAAGGGAGCTTGTAGGTCATCTAGTCCAACCCCCTGCCCAAGCAGGAGACCCTACACCATTACTGACAGATGGCAATCCAGCCTCTTCTTGAAAGTCTCAAGTGATGAAGTTCCCACAACTTCTGAAGGCAACTTCTGTTCCAGGGGTTGATTGTTCTCACTGTCAGAAAGTTTCTCCTTATTTCCAGGTTGAATCTCTCCTTGTTCAGTTTCCATCCATTATTCCTTGTCTGGCCTTTGGGTGCCTTGGAAAATAGCTGGACCCCTTCCTAATCTAGGAAGTGTAAACTTGCCTGATTTTGCTGGAAAAACAAATGCTGCTTGTTGGATATTGTACTAATATTGCATTCATAAAACCTCTCCCTCTCTCTCTTTCTCTCCCCTCCCCCCAGGTTATGTATGGGACATTGGTCGCTGTTCTAGTCTTACGCTCGGTGTATATAGTGTTATGGTAAGTAAGGACTTAACTACCAGATGGTTGCAGCTTAAGCCAAAGGTGTGAATTGCAGAGGAAGAAATTTGAATGGCTGATTTTCTGATTAACGCTCAGCCTTCTGTTTTTCCACTGCTTGGGGTTTGTTCTGTGGGTTGCATAACCAGGGGAAAAAAAAGTATAGCCTACAGCTCCATTGTTTCTGTATCGACAACCTTACCACCGTGGCTCGTAAACTATTGGGATCCCAGCTGCAGAATTAAAATGGGAGAGCTCAGTTTGGCTAGATGAGTCACCGAGTGGCAAAGTGCCAGGGAGTTTCTCCGCCCAGGTGTTGCTACTTTGATGCTGCATGCAGGTAGACTTCTAACAGTTCAATTAGTGACCATTCGAAGATACAATGGCACTGAAAAAAGGGACTTGTGACCATTTTTTTCACACTCACGGCCGTTGCATCATCCCCACGGTCATGTGATCAAAATTTGGCTGCTTGACAACTGGCATGTACTTATGCCTGTTGCAGTGTCCTGGGGTCGTGTGATCCCCTTTTGCGACCTTCTTGACAAGTAAAGTCAAGGGGGGAAGCCAGATTCACTTAACAACGGTGTGACTAATTAACAACAGCAGTGATCAACGACGGCACTTAATAAACGTGGCGAGAAAAGTCGTAAAATACGAGTGAAACTCACCGAACGAATTGTTCACTGAACATAAATGTTGGACTCGATTGAGGTCGTAAATTGGGGACTACCTGTACCCACCCTCCCCATCTGCCTTGCAGAATACAAATGAACCTTCCCTAGGAAGCCCTGCCCCCCCCACCAAAAAATAGCACAATAACACGCAGTCCAAAGTGGCTTTGAGAGATTTAATCTTGTTCTTCCTTCCAGGGTCTACCCTTGGCTCCGAGGGTTGGGATACACATCCCTGACTGTTTTTTTGCTGGGCTTCCTCCTTTGGAACGTAGACAACATTTTCTGCGAGAAATTGCGGTAGGTGAATTTGGGGGGGCTTTTCCGTCCACTTCTGGCTGGTAGTGTTTAGTGTCGGGATTCCAGCAGTACCTCCAGTTAAATCATGAGTCTTTGAGCCAAACTCCCAAAACTTCCAAGGATTTATTTGGAAGTCAACATGTTGGCATGACCTGGGCGTAGCCGACTCCGAGACACGTAATTCACTGTCACCCTTGACCCTGCTTTTCCCCCCACCCCTCTGGGTGCATCATCATTCATATTCTCCAACAGGACACCTCCATAGCCAAGAGTCATCAATCTCCAGTTAGACTTTTGCGCCGCAGAAGCTTCAGTCATCTAATCAGTCTTTGAAGAAAATATGAATGGAATGTACTTTCGATTCCAC